CCACCAACAAGAGGGGTTTGAACAGTTTGTGTCATGAACAGTGCTTGTGCCCATAGAAATAGACATGGCACGCGGGGGGGGACAGGATGTTCCCCAATGCTGGAAGGGGGGCCTCGAATGAAAAAGTTTGTGAACCCCTGGTCTACAGCAGTGTGTCAGTACTGGCAGTATCCAGTTCATTCACTAACGGCATGTACGAGTTCGTGAGACTCACCTTTCCATAGAGGGGTCATATTAGTGTGTAGCCCAAACTGTTCGGACACTATAGACAGAAGTTGGCTGTACCGACTTCAGATCAGTCCCATTACACTTGTGGGAGTCGTAGGACAAAATGGAAAACAACATTCGTGAGAGTCTCATCTTTCCATAGAGTGGTCAATAGTTTGTAGGCCTAACCGTTTGGATGTTACAGACTTTTTCGTGAGAAAACAGATTTTTGGGATGTATCATGGTCTGACTAACACCGCTCTAACTCTGCCACCTTTCACCGATAATGCGGAAGGGCGACATCAGCGGATGCGGTGAATTGAGACGCAGCCCATGCAATGTTTTTTTTTCTCAACCTTAAACTGACAGATTTCTATGGGGATTTTTTTATTATGCTAATTAGACTACCGCGGGGGCATGGATATCGACTCCAGGGTGTTAACAGTTCCACATACACTTTCAGAAGCATCCTATTGAAACTGAAGACACTCACTCTCCGTCTTACACACACCTCCAGGATTATCAGGGCATCCAGGTTGGAGGCTACCTCTCCACTGCTGCTAAATCACAGGCGAGCAGCATGGCTCAGATGTCTCCCCAGTACAGACCGTAAACACCATGACAGAAGTACACACACCGCGTTAGCTCGCCATGCTTTAAATAAAGACAAAGCACCAGGAGGTGGAGGGTGGTATCCTCACAGGCTTCAGGCTGTTCACGTTCCACAGCCCAAAACAGATAGATGTCATCCCCCACTGACAGATCACCTTAAATACTGTTGAAGTAATATGGCTATAGGTTCATCTGCCTCACATAAAGCCCATTCTTGTGGGAAGCTGCTATAGTCCAACAAGTGGGATGGAGGCAAAAGGAATGGCAAATCAGTCTGGCTGCACAACCGATTGGCAAACATACTGCAAATTGAGAAATCATGTGACTAAACAAAGATAAATGATATAAAGAATTATAGTAAAAAGCTTTGGAGCACCTTAAATAAAATGTTGGGCAAAAAGGCAAACTCAGCTCCATCATTCATTGAATCAGATGGCTCATTCATCACAAAACCCACTGATATTGCCAATTACTTCAATTATATTTTCATTGGCAAGATTAGCAAACTTAGGCATGACATGCCAGCAACAAACGCTGACATCCAAGTATAACTGATAAAATTATGAAAGACAAGCATTGTAATTTTGCATTACGTAAAGTGAGTGTGGAAGAGGTGAAAATATTATTGTTGTCTATCAACAATGACCAGCCACCGGGATCTGACAACTTGGATGGAAAATTACTGAGGATAATAGTGGACGGTATTGCCACTCCTATTTACCAGATCTTCAATCTAAGCCTACTAGAAAGTGTGTTCCCTCAGGCCTGGAAGGAAGCTAAAGTAATTCCGCTACCCAAGAATAGTAAAGCCCCCTTTACTGGCTCAAATGGCCGACCAATCAGCCTGTTACCAACCCTTAGTAAATCAAAATATATTTGAGATTTGAGATTCTTCAAATAGCCACTCTTTGCCTTGATGACAGCTTTGCACACTCTTGGCTTTCTCTCAACCAGCTTCATGAGGTAGTCACCTGGAATGCATTTCAATTAACAGGTGTGCCTTCTTTATGCATTTGAGCCAATCAGTTGTGTTTTGACAAGGTATACAGAATATAGCCCTATTTGGTAAAAGACCAAGTCCATATTATGGCAAGAACAGCTCAAATACCCAAAGAGAAACGACAGTCCATCATTGCTTTAAGACATGAAGGTCAGTCAATCCGGAAAATTTCAAGAACTTTGAAAGTTTCTTCAAATAAAGTCGCAAAAACCATCAAGCGCTATGAGGAAACTGGCTCTCATGAGGACCGCCACAGGAATGGAAGACCCAGAGTTACCTCTGCTGCAGAGGATAAGTTCATTAGAGTTACCAGCCTCAGAAATTGCAGCCCAAATAAATGCTTCACAGAGTTCAAGTAACAGACATCGCAACATCAACTGTTCAGAGGGGACTGTGTGAATCAGGCATTCATGGTCGAATTGCTGCAAAGAAACCACTAAAGGACATCAATAATAAGAAGAGATTTGCTTGGGCCAAGAAACACGAGCAATGGACATTAGACTGGTGGAAATGTGTCCTTTGGTCTGGAGTCCAAATTGGAGATTTTTGGTTCAAACTGCCGTGTCTTTGTGAGACGCGTGTGTATTTCCCACCGTAAAGCATGGAGGAGGTGTTATGGTGTGGGGGTGCTTTGCTGGTGACACTGTCAGTGATTTATTTTGAATTCAAGGCACACTTAACCAGCATGGCTACCACAGCATTCTGCAGTGATACGCCATCTCATCTGGTTTGGGCTTAGTGGGACTATAATTTGTTTTCAACAGGACAATGACCCAACACACTACCCAACTCCTTCAAGACTGTTAGAAAAGCAATCCACTTTTTTGGTTACTACATGATTCCATATGTGTTATTTCATAGTTTTGATGTCTTCACTATTATTCTACAATGTAGAAAATAGTAAAAAAAAATAAAAATAAAAAATAGATTTGAATGAGTAGGTGTTCTAAAGCTTTTGACCGGTAGTGTATGTGTAATGGCTTTACACCCCCTGCTATGTTGTGGATAAAGAGTTACCTGTCTAACAGAACACAGAGGGTGTTCTTTAATGGAAGCCTCTACAACATAATCAGGAATTCCCCAGGGCAGCTGTCTAGGCCCCTTACTTTTTTCAATCTTTACTAATGGCATGCCACTGGCTTTGAGTAAAGCCTAAATATTTCTAAAACTAAAACCATTGTATTTGGGACAAATCATTCACTAAACCCCAATTAAACCTTGTAGAAAATAATGTGGAAATTCAGCAAGTTGAGGTGACTAAACTGCTTGGAGTAACCCTGGATTGTAAACTGTCATGGTCAAAAGATGTTGATACAACAGTAGCTAAGATGGGGAGAAGTCTGTACGTAATAAAACGCTGCTCTGCCTGAAAATTACAATTGGCTCATAACAGGGCAGCATAGCTGGCCCTTAAATGTACACAGAGAGTTAACATGAATAATATGCACATAAATCTCCCATGGCTCAAAGTGGAGGAGAGATTGACTTCATCACTACTTGTTTTTCTAAGAAGTGTTGACATGCTGAATGCACCGAGGTGTCTGTTTAAACTACTAGCACACAGCTCGGACACCCATGCATACCCCACAAGACATGCCACAAGAGGTTTCTTCACAATTCCCAAGTCAAGAACCGACTTTGGGAGGCGCACAGTACTACGTAGAGCCATGGCTACATGGAACTCCATTCCACATCAGGTAACTGATGCAAGCAGTAGAATCAGATTTAAATAACAGATACAAATATGGAACAGCTGGGAGTGTGAAGAGACACACACAGGCACACGCATACACGTACTTTGTATTGTAGATATGTGGTAGTAGAGTAGTGACCTGAGGGAACACACTTAATGTGATATGAAAAGTCTTATGAAATTATATTTTATGTAATATTTTAAAATTGTATATAACTGCCTTAATGTTGCTGGACCCCAGGAAGAGTAGCTGCTGCCTTGGCAGAAGCTAATGGGGTTCCTTAATAAATGCAAATACCTCGGCCTGCCTGCGGAGTCTTCTGTGGGGCCAAACCCCGAGCTTCCAAACCCCCAGAGGAGACGAGACATGACCATGGAGGCGCTGCAGTCGTTTCACCTTTCACCTCCTTCATTCTCTCCATCTTTCTCTAAGTCTGCTTCCATGTCCAGGACATGACAGTTAAGAGGAGAGAGAAGCACCCTTGATACAACCCTTCATACAGCCTATTATTGATTAATGGAAAGATTATTCTCAGATGGGAAAATTAATGTTTTTCTCTCCCTTTCGCTCTCTGAAATGACAGCAACACGACTCCATCTTCTCTCATTTGAATCGTACCTCAACAGGACACCACAAACAAAATAAATAAAACTAAATAACTGAACTAAATAAGCCGGCGTTCTGCAGGAATCAACCGCGCCATCTTGAAACGCCACCAAGTCAAACAGAAGTTAGTCTTCTGGACTCTGAGGTGAGGGGAAAGAAAAACCACACTGAAGCCCAACTGAAGCCTTGCGGTGTCCAGACACGCCTGGCAACTGCTCTACCCCACCCGAGCCAGAGGGAGGAGGAGAAAAGTGAGGAAAAACAGCCAGAGTCAGAGCCAAGAGCAACAGCATCCTACAACCCTTTCTCCATCAGCAAGTTCGACTTCATGCTGCATATCCAGTCAGTTACAGAGAACCACATCCTCCTCCATGTGAAGCCAGCCATAGTGGAGCAGCTCTTTCCCCCATTGGTGGATGAAGAATGGGTGGTGGTCGTGTCTTTGGGTTTAAATGGATATCAAATACACTCATGGTACAACTACATTGACCAGAGGATCACCCATGCCAGCTAGGCTGATGAGATGGAATAAAAGGTTTTTCACCAATGTAATGTATAGGAATGAGTGAGTGTGTGGAGAAAGACCACTGGAGAGAGAGACTTCTCCACTGTCATGGAGTTGAGACTAGGTGAGCACTGAGCAGAGATTTCTTCCCACGCACCGTTGCACCCTGGGAAGACCGCCACGCTTCTCATAGGGGCTGGAGGAGAAGAAGGCAGGGGATGGGACGGTGATGGAATCGCTTTATCTCATCACGGTAAAATGAAAATAAACGACTGCGGAGGAAAACGAAGCAGTTGCCAAATGGAAGAAGTCCTTAACAGACACCCTGAATAACACAAAGCTGACAGCTCAACAAAACGCAGAGCCAGAGCCCTCATTCGGTCTCTGAGCGCTGCAGGTAGGAATGTGATGACATTACAGAGGAGTTGAGGGCTTGTTCTCACACCAGGCAGAGAACCTCGATAAGGGAATGGACACAATACACTGCAGCAACAACCTCCTTTAGGGGCTCCCCAACCATTAGCATCAAGCTAATCTAAACTGACCACCACTGTAATATGCCAACAATGAATTAGCATTGACCTAAAGGGCATAGTGTGTGCCCCATTAAGCTAACCTGCATTGGGCTCTGTGTAAGGAAGTTAACCATGCGTTACCATTGAGTGAAGTCACGTAGGCAGAGTATTCGTATGAGCTCATCGTGCTTTAACGTTAAGCTAGACTAGGCCGACTCAGGGTGCATGCTGGACATTCACTAGCATGTCTGTGTGAGCTAGCCTGTTTGGATGTTGTTTGCATGCCAACTATGTGGTAGGCTTAATCCGGCCTGCACAGTCAGGACAGTCAGTGTGTTTGTATGTGGCGTGCAGTACTCACTATAGGGATGCCGGTGGAGAAGATGGTGGTTTTGACCACCTGTTTCTGCTTCTCAATCTGGGTCTCCAGCTGGGCGGCCCGGTCCTTGTGTTCGGCCAGCAGGATGGTGGCGGGGACATGAGAGCGCTCCTGGAGGGGAACATCCAAATACAGGTATGAGGTAAGTAATCATATTTCCATGTGTGTGTGTGTGTGTATATATATATATATAGTGCATTCGGGAAAGTATTCAGAACCGTTGACCTTTTCCACATTTTGTTACGTTACAGCCTTATTCTAAAATTGATTAAATTAATGTTTTCCCTCAATCTACACACAATACCCCATAATGACAAAGCGAAAACATGTTTTTAAAAATGTTTGCAAAAATAATATTGTTACGAACCCCGTGGCTCTAAACGTCTAGGGTGGATGGACATGAGACCCGTAACATAAATTATGCAAATTAGTAGTGTGGCATGGAGCAGTGAGAACAAATGTGACACAACAACCATGAACTACCGTCAAACACAAATGGTTTATTACTAAACACACGGTAAAGGTTTGGGAAAAAGGGCTGAGCAGGACCCAAGAAATGAAACAATAGTGTAAAACCCCCTAAACTGATCTAGCCTGCCTGAAGAACCGCTAGGCTACTGCTAGTCATACAAAAGTACAGTGGGTGGTCCGCTCAGGTCTAACTAGTGTTTTTAGACAGAATTCTTCCTACGGGTAATGTACGCCCAAGGGCAACTAGCTTAAACTCCCCTTTTCCCAGAAACACACAAAGCTACCAAACAGGGTAATCAGCAACACAGTAAGTACACAATACACAGGACACCACAGTATCCACACTCACATAAAGAAATGGCTTCCAACAAAGTTACCAATAGGGTAACCAACAACTTAGTGAGTACACAACACACAGGACACCACCGTGTCCATACTCACATATGGCAAAAAAATCTCTCTCTTGCAACAAACACAAGACTGGTTTTTATACAATGGGTGGTGTGATTGAACAAACGAGTAACAGGTGGTGCAATGCACAGGAATGTTCCCTGATTGGTCCAATCAGCAGACACCTCAACGACCACCAATCAGGAACATACAGGACACCTGTGATTAGGGCAGAAGGAGAGAAACACACAAAAACACAGGATACCTGTATCCGTAACAAATATGTAAATAAGGTATTTCTTATTTATTTGTAAGTATTCAGACCCTTTGCTATGAGACTTGAAATTGAGCTCAAGTGCATCCTCTTTCCATTGATCATCCTTGAGATGTTTCTACAACTTCATTTGAGTCCACCTGTGGTAAATTCAATTGATTGGACATGATTTGGAAAGGCACACACAACTGTCTATATAAGGTCCCACAGTTGACAGTGCATGTCAGATCAAAAACCAAGCCGAGGTCGAAGGAATTGTCCGTAGAGCTCCGAGACACGATTGTGTCGAGGCACAGATATGGGGAAGTGTACCAAAGAATTCCTGCAGCATTGAAGCTCCCCAAGAACACAGTGGCCTTGATCATTCTTAAAATAGAAGAAGTTTGGAACCTCCAAGACTCTTCCTAGAGCTGGCCTTCCGGCCAAACTGAGCAATCGGGGGAGAAGGGCCTTGGTCAGGAAGGTGACCAAGAACATGATGGTCAATCTGACAGAGCTCCAGAGTTTCTCTGTGGAGATGGGAGAACCTTCCAGAAGGACAACCATCTCTGCAGCACTCAACCAATCAGACCTTTATGATAGAGTGGCCAGACAGAAGCCACTCAGTAAAAGGCACATGACAGCCCACTAAAGGACTCGGACCATGAGAAACAAGATTCTCTGGTCTGATGAAACCAAGATTGAACTCCTTGGCCTGAATGCCAAGCGTCACGTCTGGAGGAAACCTGGCACCATGCCTACGGTGAAGCATGGCGGTGGCAGCATCATGCTGTGGGGATGTTTTTCAGCGGCAGGGACTGGGAGACTAGTCAGGATCGAGGGGAAGATGAACGGAGCAAAGTTCAGAGAGATCCATGATGAAAACCTGCTCCAGAGTGCTCAGGACCTCAGACTGGGAGTGAAGGTTCACCTTCCAACAGGACAACGACCCTAAGAACACAGTCAAGACAACGCAGTGGCTTCGGGACAAGTCTCGGAATGTCCTTGAGTGGCACAGCCAGAGCCCGGACTTGAACCTGATCAAACATCTCTGGAGAGACCTGAAAATAGCTGTGCAGCGACGCTCCCCGATGCTGCCAAAGGTGCTTCAACAAAGTACTGAGTAAAGGGTCTGAATACTTATGTAAACGTGATATTTCAGTTTTTTATTTTTAATACATTTGCTAAAATTTCTGAAAACCTGTTTTTGCTTTGTCATTATGGGGTTATTGTGTGTAGATTGATGGGGGGGGGGACTATTTAATCCATTTTAGAATAAGGCTGTAACGTAACAGAATGTGGAAAAAGTCAAGGGGTCTGAATACTTTCCGAATGCACTGTATGTTCAACAACCACTGAATTATGATAAAGCAAAAAACGGATTTACGCCAAGTAAAAGATGGGGAGGTGCTTCGAAGACTGGTACATGTAATGAGATGTGGAACTTGGGAACCTCAGAGTTCAAAATATCAATCACACACTCCTCCCTATAACTGCACAAATAACAAATCAAGGTGGTTCAAGGCTAGTCATCAGATTATTGATGCAAGCCATGTTAAAAACCCTGGTGGTATGATGTTTTATCAAGTACACTGCACCGTCTTCCCCTCCATTAAGCGAAGGTTGAAAATTGCAATTTCTCCAGTGGAGTGTTGCCAAGCTTATAGGTCTGAAACACAAGCCCCGGCACGCCATCCATGGAGGGAGCAGGACGTTATTGTCGGGGTGGACGGGCAGTGGGCACAGAGCTGGGAGTGTTTTCATCACCAGGCAGAAAGGAAGGTGTGGAGCAGAACAATGTACAGCTGGAGGTGATCTGCTGATGGCTCCTTATCAGGATCTATTGCAAACACTATCAGTCTATTTGATCATTGATACACTATATATACACACAAGGGAATGTGGACACCCCTTCAAATTAGTGGATTCGGCTATTTCAGCCACATCCGTTGCTGACAGGTGTATAAAAATCGAGCACACCGCCATGCAATCTCCATAGACAAACACTGGCAGTGGAATAGCCTTACTGAAGAGCTCAGTGACTTTCAACGTGGCACCGTCATAGGATGCCACCTTTCCAACAAGTTAGTTGCCCTGCTAGAGCTGCCCCGGTCAAATGTAAGTGCTGTTATTGTGAAGTGGAAACGTCTAGAAGCAACAACGGCTCAGCTGCGAAGTGGTAGGCCACACAAGCTCACAGAACGGGATCGCCGAGTGCTGAAGCGCGTAAAAATTGTCTGTCCTCGGTTGCAACACTCACTACCGAGTTCCAAACTGCCTGCGGAAGCAACATCAGCACAATAACTATTAGTCGGAAGCTTCATGAAATGGGTTTCCATGGCCGAGCAGCCGCACACAAGCCTAAGATCACCATGCCCAATGCCAAGCGTCGGCTGGAGTGGTGTAAAGCTCGCCACCATTGGACTCTGGAGCAGTGGAAACGCGTTCCCTGAAGTGATGATTCAAGCTTCACCATCTGGCAGTCTGACAAACGAATCTGGGTTTGGCGGATGCCAGGAAAACGCTACCTCGCCGAATGCATAGTGCCAACAGTAAAGTTTGGTGGAGGAGGAATAATGGTCTGGGGCTGTTTTTCATGGTTTGGGCTAAGTCCCTTAGTTCCAGTGATGGGAAATCTTAACGCTACAGCATCCAATGACATTCTAGAAGATTCTGTGCTTCCAACTTTGTGGCAACAATGTGGGGAAGGCCCATTCCTGTTTCAGCATGACAATGCCCCCGTGCACAAAGCGAGGTCCATCCAGAAATGGTTTGTCGAGATCGGTGTGGAAGAACTTGACTGGCCTGCACATAGCCTTGACCTCAACCCTATAGAACACCTTTGGGATGAATTGGAATGCCAACTGCTAGCCAGGCCTAATCGCCCAAAATCAGTGCCCAACCTCATTAATGCTCTTGTGGCTGAATGGAAGCAAGTCCATTCAGCAAGTCCAAGGCCTCCTGTAGCTCAGTTGGTAGAGCATGGCGCTTGCAACACCAGGGTTGTGGGTTCGATTCCCATGGGGGGCCAGTATGAAAAATGTATGCACTCACTAACTGTAAGTCGCTCTGGATAAGAGCGTCTGCTAAAAATGACTAAAAAATTAAAAAGTCCCTGCAGCAATGTTCCAACATCTAGTGTAATGCCTTCCCAGAAGAGTGGAGGCTGTTATAGCAGCAAAGGAGGGACAAACTCCATATTAATGCCTATGATTTTGGAATGAGATGTTCGACGAGCAGGTGTCCACATACTTTTGGTCAAGTAGTGTATATCTCTTGTGTGTGTGTGTGTGTGTGTGTGTGAGGCCGAAGAGATTTCTACTGTAAATGCCAAAGCACAGGAGCGTGTCCCTGGGGTCTTACTGCTCATCTCCCAACAGACAACAGAGGCCCAGTGTTTAAACAAACAAACAGCTCAACCTGCTATCTGTGACAGCTCTTTACCAGGCTGCTCTACAGGGACAATGACTTCTAAAGCCTGCAGCTAAACACAATGCCAGGAGCCAGGAGACTTGCCAGGAGTTGAAATAAGCTCTTAATGAGCCTAGTCATTGGCTCATCTTATATATCCTGGTTGTTCTTCCTCTACGTGTGTCACCAGATTGTTCTATAACTTACCATTTGTTCCCGTTGGCCTATGTGGCAATGTGTGTTTATTAGTGTGACTGTATGTGGTGTGTGTCTGTGTACATGTCTAGGTGTCTCACCAGTTTATCTAGTAGAGCCCGTTTGCTCTTCCTCTTGGCCTGTACAGTGACGGAAAAAAAGTATTTGATCCCCTGCTGATTTTGTACGTTTGCCCACTGACAAAGACATGATCAGTCTATCATTTTAATGGTAGGTTTATTTGAACAGTGAGAGACAGAATAACAACAAAAAAATCCAGAAAAACGCATGGCAAAAATGTTATAAATTGATTTGCATTTTAATGAGGGAAATAAGTATTTGACCCCTCTGCAAAACATGACTTAGTACTTGGTGGCAAAACCCTTGTTGGCAATCACAGAGGTCAGACGTTTCTTGTAGTTGGCCACCAGGTTTGCACACATCTCAGGAGGGATTTTGTCCCTCCTCTTTGCAGATCTTCTCCAAGTCATTAAGGTTTCGAGGCTGACATTTGGCAACTCGAACCTTCAGCTCCCTCCACAGATTTTCTATGGGATTAAGGTCTGGAGACTGGCTAGGCCACTCCAGGACCTTAATGTGCTTCTTCTTGAGGCCACTCCTTTGTTGCCTTGGCTGTGTGTTTTGGGTCATTGTCATGCTGGAATACCCATCCACGACCCATTTTCAATGCCCTGGCTGAGGGAAGGAGGTTCTCACCCAAGATTTGACGGTACATGGCCCCGTCCATCGTCCCTTTGATGCGGTGAAGTTGTCCTGTCCCCTTAGCAGAAAAACACCCCCAAAGCATAATGTTTCCACCTCCATGTTTGACGGTGGGGATGGTGTTCTTGGGGTCATAGGCAGCATTCCTCCTCCTCCAAACACGGCGAGTTGAGTTGATGCCAAAGAGCTCGATTTTGGTCTCATCTGAAAACAACACTTTCACCCAGTTCTCCTCTGAATCATTCAGATGTTCATTGGCAAACTTCAGACGCCATGTATATGTGCTTTCTTGAGCAGGGGGACCTTGCGGGCGCTGCAGGATTTCAGTCCTTCACGACGTAGTGGGTATCCAATTGTTTTCTTGGTGACTATGGTCCCAGCTGCCTTGAGATCATTGACAAGATCCTCCCGTGTAGTTCTGGGCTGATTCCTCACCGTTCTCATGATCATTGCAACTCCACAAGGTGAGATCTTGCATGGAGCTCCAGGCCGAGGGAGATTGACAGTTATTTTGTGTTTCTTCCATTTGTGAATAATCGCACCAACTGTTGTCACCTTCTCACCAAGCTGCTTGGCGATGGTCTTGTAGCCCATTCCAGCTTTGTGTAGGTCTACAATCTTGTCCCTGACATCCTTGGAGAGCTCTTTGGTCTTGGCCATGGTGGAGAGTTTGGAATCTGATTGATTGATTGCTTCTGTGGACAGGTGTCTTTTATACAGGTAACAAACTGAGATTAGGAGCACTCCCTTTAAGAGTGTGCTCCTAATCTCAGCTCGTTACCTGTATAAAAAGACACCTGGGAGCCAGAAATCTTTCTGATTGAGAGGGGGTGAAATACTTATTTCCCTCATTAAAATGCAAATCAATTTATAACATTTTTGACATGCGTTTTTCTGGATTTTTGTTGTTGTTATTCTGTCTCTCACTGTTCAAATAAACCTACCATTAAAATTATCGACTGATCATTTCTATGACAGTGGGCAAACGTACAAAATCAGCAGGGGATCAAATACTTTTTTCCCTCACTGTAGCGGTCTCTGTGCCTCTTGCAGTCTCCAGCCTGCGATGCTTATTTCCCTAATGCTCCAACAACAGCAGCTCCTCCAACTCCTCCTGCTCTCGCGTCTGCTGGAGAGAGAGAGAGAGAGAGAGAGAGAATAATCCATATAATAATAATAAAGAATATGCCATTTAGCAGACGCTTTTATCTAAAGCGACTTACAGTCATGTGTGCATACATTTTTGTATGGGTGGTCCCGGGAATTGAACCCACTACCCTGGCGTTACAAGCGCCGTGCTCTACCAATTGAGCTACAGAGGACCACATATCCATATCCTAGTAGACAGAGTATTGCAGGAGGAGACAGATGGTGAGAGAGGGAGCTAGACCATGTAGTACAACAGAATAATGCATAAGCGATGAGTTTCATCAGGCAAAGCAGAGTGAGTCCGTGTGGGGTTACAGGTACCCACCAGCTTGCCCTTGTTCTTCTGGATGATGTCTCTATTCGCTCTCTGGTACGCCTCCATGATCTGTTTGGTGCCCTCCACCTCTAGGTTGATGGTCAGGTTATAGACTGGAGAGGAGAGAGCAGGGCAGCCCTCCATCAACACACTAGCATGGACTTCACTTCAAATCTAGGGCTGATACTTGAAATCGGATTCGGAACAACCTAAAGTATGATGTTGCAAAGCATCGGACTCTAGATAATTCATTGTGTTTTACATGTATAAGTAAGGTTGAATGTTTCAATTCAAGGGCTTGCCATTGTATCGCTCTAAAAGTAATAAGCCATGTTTCTGATGATGTAAGCATAGGTGACCATAGGAGAGGTCTAACCCATTGTCACAGTGCAAACACAATCTGACAGAAATCTCTGAGAGCTGGCACAGAGACTGGTGGGTCTCTGACCCTGGCTGGCACTGACGCCTGTAAAACTTCAACATCCAGAGCCAAGGCCAGAGACAGTTCAATGCACTAAGACCAGGCTGCATCTCCCCTATCTCGCCATCTCTCCTGAGTCCACAGCCTCCTCTCACCGATCTCCTCCACTTGTTCCAAGTAGTCATTGTATTCTCTCAGGCTGGAGAAGTCAAAGTCTCTCTTGTTGTAACTGATAATTTTTTTTAGAAAAAAATAGTTTACATACTGTAATTATCAGGCCTAATACTTGTTTGCACACATTACATTGAAATAGCAGGGCTAAAGAAAGAAAGATGAGGGATGGACAGAACGGGAGGGGCTGAGGCAGATGTAAGGCAGGAAAAGAGCCTTCCTATTGGAGCAACCCCTGGGGGGTCATTGTCTACAAAACAAACAGCATAATGACAAAAGCAGCTTAAGGAGAGGGAGGAGTGGGCTGAACACAAACACAGAGACACACCCTTCTCCCCTGTGCCCCTCACTCACACCTTGAGCACCTTCTTGCGGATCTCCACCTCCTTGTCGACGGCTGGGTCTTCGAAGAGCTGCATGTGGAAGTTACTCTTCCTCAGGGGCGTGCCACACTGCACACAGGTCCCCGAGCCACGCACAAACAGCATATCCACACAGCTCTCACATCTGAGGAGACCGACACACGAATGTGTCAAACACACACAGCTTTACAGAAGAAAAAACTTTTTCTATGGAGCAAGCATGTCAAAATCTATTACCTTTGTGCATGTCTAATGCACTTTCCCTTAGCAATGGCCTGGTGGTATATTTCCATTTTACATAATATGTATGTGAGTTATCAGCCCCACAACAGGTGATAATGGCCATCTTATATTACCTTAATGTAATAGTTCAGACGGTAGGAATCATGAATGGAATGTTGATTAACCCTCAACCTTCACACAGACAATGAATCTGACACTCCTGCCAAAGAGTGTCTGTCTGCACTGGAAATGTATGTTTTCTAATATCATTTCAAAAGGAACTCAAACAGTCAGCGTGCCACGCTGCACACAATAGAAAAATCCAGTTCAGCAAAGTACTCACAGCTTCTCATCACTAAACTATTTCAAATTCCACTGATGCTGAAGTTCTCTGAGAGGCTCTGGCTTCTTTCAACATTGTCAGGATCGTAATAATTTGTTATGACCTTGAAAGTGCTCTAACAATTGGCCTAATATTAATGAGATCCCCAAAAAGACAAAACAGTTACGGTAAATTAGAGATAAATATTTCATTATAAACTGCATCGATTAAGGAAGGCTAACCACAGGACTACATTAGACATCTCATCATGTCTCAGTGTTCCTTTATTGGTCTGGTTTAATAACTCTTACTGCATAGAGGTGTTCCCTTCCCTCATTGGCCAACACAGAGCTGTTCTAGGAAATTGTTGCATGACACACAAATCCCATCATCAAATGTCAATTTCCACCAATAGGAAAACATTCCAATGCAGAGGGTCCTTCCTCAAGCCATCCCAACAACACGGCCATAACAACCACCAGAGCCACCTTCGGGCCGAGCAACATTTACTCATCAATCACACCTTTAAGCAGGTAGGCGTTTACCCATCAATCACACTCAAGTGAGGAGTGGACCCTAAAGACAATGGAAAAGGCCTTAAATCTTCCCTAAATAGGCAGCAGGAGGGGCGGGCAGGGGGGAGGCTGGATAAACGTTTGCACAGACACTTTTAATTAAGTCTCTGTGGAGCTTTATTCCACTGGAATTCACCTTCTGTAGGCATCCTGCTCTTAGCTGGCCACCTTCAGAAGCAAGCCCCAACATCTGGTTTCCAAATGGCCACATCTGGGGTGACTACAACCATTTTAACCCCAAAACATAGCCAAAATGTAGTTGTTTTTTCAATGTGATAATATTTTTGTAGAAAATGTTATGTTTCCAAAGTCGCATTTCTTTCAAACCCTTTTCAGAACTTGAGTCCTTTAGGCCTAAGGCAGTAAACCTTTATCACCTCATCAGCAGGATTCTAAAGGAAAAAGCAGTTATGGGAGAAACTGCAGAGCTACTGGACTTTACCTGTTTACATATCAGATATGCGTAAAACAAAGCAAACCTGCCAAAAGATCATTAATACCAACACACCCTCTAGTATAGAAAAAAGCTCACAAAACATTAGCAAATTGGCCTAGTGTTCAACAATTGCTGGATTTAGCACAAAACAACATAAATTAAACAAAACTATCCTGTACGTGGTTGGTCCCCAGGACCATGAGAGAGCCCCCTGTTCAAGTGCAGCCCAGTAGGGGCAGATGTTCACTGTGGCCCCAGGCTACAGGAGATGTATATGCCTAGCCATATGGAGGTAAAAGGGGGGTTTGCTGCTTGTTTCCACAGACCCACAAAGAGCCCATTCATCAGGTAGGGCCAGGAGTGGGGCGTAGCTTGCCCCCTGTTCCATAAATGGACCACACAACAGACCCACTACAGGGGAAATCCTGTGTAATTCTAGGGCAAAGAGATTAAGCTATGAGAAGATTGGAGGGAGAAGACTGTCAAAGTGAACTTGCCATCTTCAGGCTAGCTCCTCTCAGAAGAGCCATTTGTTTAGGACCCTTTCTCTTATTGTCAAATCAAATCCATTTTTATTGTCACATGCTTCGTAAACAACAGGTGTAGACCAACAGTGAAATGCTTACTTATGGGCCGTTCCCAACAATGCAGAGAGAAAAATACATCGAAAACACAAGGAATAAATACACAATGTTTAACGATAGATTTTTTGACAGGGGGTGCAGGATATTTTTTTGCCTAATTTAGATACGTTTCTGCTTATAATTTCCGATATTTTGTTCGGCTATTTGTTAGTCAACTTATCTATAATTAGTAGCTTCTCTTCTGTCATTATGTTACCCTAGAAGACTAAATAAACTCTTGCTCTCCAGAATAACGCCTTAAATCGATAGAATGAATGCTTCAATCTTGTTGACATCGGAAAAGTTCTCCGTCATCTCTGCTTCTTTTGCAGAGCGAAGACATTTAGGGACGGGGGAGAAAATGCAATAAGTCAACAAAAAAAAATGGGAACGATTTTCTGTGCTAAATTTCCAAAGGACATCCGTTTGACTGGTTGTAATGAAATAGAAAGCTGTGAAAACGACCCAACATGTTTCTGATAAGATTTCAGTTTGGCTTGGATGTATATTTTATGTGGTTGAAATAGTATTAGCTTTTATGATGCTGATAAAGATAGCATTCGCATTCTCTTAAGATGCTGTTCCTGAGTCAAAATGTACATTTGGTGTATAATTTTACTGCAAGAAATGCTTAATTCTGCAGGAGTTAATATTAAGGCTATGTGAGAGGTTATACACCTACAGTCAGTGTCCAGATTACAGTTTCCATTTAACCCATCTGAACAGTAGGCTACAGTTCCCTTGACGTGCCATTGGCCTATTTGAAGTCCCCGTCTTGTGACTGTCGAATTTGTATAGCATCTCACAATCATCACACATAACATAGGCACTCCAATCATCCTCTTTTACCACTACACCAAATCTTTCCCAAACATTACTTTTCTATCTGGCCCTCCCTTCTCTGAAATTGTTCTTTTTGCCTCAGTGGATCGATGTTAACTTTTTCTGGCCATTCCCAAAAGCATTTGGCAATTGGCGTGTAGGCTATTTGGCGAGTGTAAAGTTAGGCCCTAAAGCTTAGACTTACGCACTAATGCCAGATAGCCTAAAAATAATTAAAGAAAAACCTCAATGTAGCCTATAGATATACACTGAGTGTACAAAACATTAGGAACACCTTCCTAATATTGAGTTGCACCCCCTTTTGCCCTCAGAACAGCCTCAATTCATCGGGGCATGGACTCTACAAGGTGTTGAAAGCATTGCACAGGGATGCTGGCCCATGTTGACGTCAATGCTTCCCACAGTTGTGTCAAGTTTGTTGGATATCCTTTGGGTGGTGGACCATTCTTGATACACACGGGAAACTGTTGAGCATAATAAATAAAATAAAACTGTTCACTCAGCATAAATTGCACAAGAATGATACATTATGGATTTATTAATGTATTGTTTTCCCTTTATTCAACCCGACTGCCACCCACCTGCCCTTCATCCACACAATATTTTGTGGATATAAGCGCGGGGACTGCAGGTTATGAGTCAACCCATATATCACTAATACACAGGGTGACAGAATTGGTCAAGAGCCCGTAAAACAGCTGCTATCCACTGCAGCACCATCTTTCAGATTGTGCCTTTCTCCTGCTGCTGGGCATATGGGCCTCATAGACTATACGGTAATATGTCCAGCATCATCCACATGATTTCTCTAGCATACGCCATCTTTCCCTCAGTCTCTTCCTCTCTCCCAGGGTTGTTCTCACTGCAGCAGAATGGTGAGCGAGCCCTGCACCCCCCAATCCTCCCTCTCACCTGTCCTGCTCAGAGCTCATATCTCTCCCATCTGCAGCTGTCAGCAAGTCAGGAGGGAGGTAAACAGGGGCCTGGCACAGCAAAAACAACCCCCTCCCCCTCAGCAACCCCAAGGGCCAGTGACATTGCCTCCCTCCCTCCTCCTCCTCTCCCTCCCTCCTATACACTAGTGAAGGTAGGAGCAATGCAGCCACATAGGGGCTGGTTCACCCGTTTCTCCCATGAAGCCCTCTCCATGCTCTAGACTCCATGCTCTAGACTCCATGCTCTAGACTCCATGCTCTAGACTCCATGCTCTAGACTCCATGCTCTAGACTCCATGCTCTAGACTCCATGCTCTAGACTCCATGCTCTAGACTCCATGCTCTAGACTCCCACACAAGCAGCTGTGGTGCCTGGGCCCAGACAGGAGATCCCTTTGTGTAGTAATCACCTGGCCATCGAACACTGCTAACCTGCTGTGATGCCCCATTCCTGCTTGTGACACCTAAAAAACGTGCAGAGCCACAGCCAGAAAACACTGGGACACTTGATTGGCTCTTTAACTAATGGGAAGAGGAATGTCATAAATTACAAGGTACATCATCAAGCATGGGAAAGAGTAAAATTTCCAAAATGAGTTTTTTCAGATAAACTACATCGCTCTGCCCTCTAAAGGGTAGGTGACTGACAAGACACACAAGAACCTAGCCTCCACCTGCAGAGGTGTCCCTGTCACTCCTTCCTTGATCTGTACCTACCCAACCTAATATCCCTGGCCCACCGGCATCTGTGCTGTGCACTGTGCCCGTCACCAAATGCCAAAGGACACAGGCCCTGCGCCATCGTGCGTAGGTAATAAATAACAGAAGGCCACTGGCCACGGGGACAGTAAATGTGCCACTGTGGGTTTAAATTTAGATGCAGGGTGGAGTGGTTCCATATCGCGCGCGGGACGGCCTAGACTGGATGGCTTCACAGCGTTGACAGCTGTCAGCAAGAGTCTCTCCCCATTGCAGATAAGACCTTGCCACAGCTTGACCAACTGACAGTCAGACCAACGGACAGGCAGGAAGGCAGATAGACAGACAGGTTAGGTAAACAGGTGGGCAGGATATTTTTGTTTCTAGAATTCCATTCAAATAAGCCTATAGACAGTGTGTTGACTATGATAAAAACAAATCTCACTTTTGTCAAGTTTAGGCTTATCTCTGGTGACAGATCGGATTGGTTCTGGGTTCCGAGATTGTGGAAATATTCTGCATGAACATCATCACACCAAACCTTGAAATCAAAAAGTAGTCAAATAACCAGCAGTCGGGACAGTCAAAAGACAATGTCCCAATGTGTGTGGTTGCAGTTTCCTAGCAGCACCCTGATGATCTGGTAAACAGCTCTGAAGAGCACCAGCAAGGTGACCGGAGCTAGGGAAGGGCGATCCTCTAAATTGCTTTATTGCAAAGTTATTTAAATTTTCTCCCAGTGTGACCCTGCGTCCAGACAGAACAGAAGCTCTGAGTTATGAGTGGGCTGACCTGATGACGAAGCACAGCCACATCCTGATGGTACGGTCAATAAACATACAGGGTCGAACATATGCTCCAGCAGACACCAGCATTTTCCTCAAGCTTCACTGTCACTGCATAACAACACCCATAAAATCAACCTGTCTCCTCTCCATCACGGAGACTGGGCAGATGTCTGGGCTTACAAAACAGGGGGAATTTTGGGAACAGCTTTATTGCAATCTTTTTTTCTGTTACTTCCAAAGAGACTGAGGCACTACATCAACCAGAATTGATATATGGGCACAGTTTCCGTATCACATTTTCTTGTAATCAAAATAAACAACAAGCCAGCGTTGTTTATTAAAAAATAAACGTGTGCATACTGTACAGCTTGTAAACAAGACACGCTGAGACAAAGGGACGTGTTTATGTTGCAGATAGAAAGAAAAGAAAACAAGCAAACATGAATGTTGACATCACGCACCAAAAGGTAATAGCTCCTCACTTTCAGCTTAACTAACGTTACAGAAGTACTAGCTAACATTACAGTTTATTTTCTATTTCTTGTTGTAGTTGTCTGGCTAAATAATATATATGTATTCATCTAACGGTTTGAAAACATGCAGCTAATAGCTAGGAAGGCTAGCTAGTCATCATGAATGGATACTCACAGCGTGTGGCCACAAACATTCACCATTAGTTTCAGGGACAGATTCCTGTATTGTGTTGTCTTGCATCTCAGACACCATTGGTCGTCTAGCTCTACAAAGCACAGAAAATGAATGTCAACAATGAACTAGCAAGTTATTCATCCTTCTTAACAGTTCACGCAAGTGGTAAAATGTGTCACATTTAAATAGTCCCGATGAGAACGTCGGTGGTAAGATTGGTTCCTAGTTAATGGTCCCTCTAAGCGCAACGCACTAAGTGGACAAATGCGCAATAGTGATAAATCTTGTTATTGTCAAATGTAAGATTACGAAAACAAGAATAAACATACACACACACGAACTTTTCAGCGTTCCACAATGCTTAGGCATATTTCGTTTTTTTAAACTGAAATTATGCATTTTCATTTGATAGCCTGTTAGATAATTTATTCGAAAACATGAGACACTCACTACAATAATCAGCAAAAAACATTGTTAATAATAATAGCCTAATGATAATAGGTATTTGCATCATCTATATATTATTGTTGCATTATGATAATCAAATAGCCTATCAGTTCATTACCATTAACTGAGCTAACGCATAAGGAACTTTCATCAGTTTGCTTTTTTATATTAATCGAAGTTGGAGTTGAATGCATAATGTAGGCCATACAGAGTAGGCTACTGTACGCTATTTCATCTCACCAAGTATTTATTTTAGCTAAAAGGGCAGTTCATTATCGCAGAGCTCAGTTGGTACAATCCAAAAATAACATGCCATAATGCAGACAATATGGATAGTATTTTCTGCTCCCATATCAAAATCCCAAACACATTCACCTTGTACAGGTAAGCCTCTGAAATACTGTACGTCATGTTTGAGGGACAGCTGCAAACCAAACATTCCTCTCTGGGTCGAGGTCGCTCCTCCCTGGCGGAGCCCTTCGTAGCCAATCGGGTGGCTATCCTGCAGACAGACCCCAATGCCCCTTTCTTGCTACAGTTCCCGCAGAGTAAAAGTCACGTTGGAACGAAAGGGGAGCGCTATCCCCTTACAGCTGCTGCCAGATATTCGATCGCGTTCGCATGGCGAGAGGGTAACCTGATCGGCTGAAGGCTTGCCGGAACCAGGGAGGAGTGACTTACCAGGAAAGGCTTGAAAAATGTCTTCTTCTTCAGGAGAAGTCACAATTTCAAATGACATCCAGAAGGAAAATGTGAAGACAGACAGGCGAGAGTGTATCAAGCTTCTTGCGCTGGATACCGCGGAGTTGTCTATGGAGCGCGCAACTTCGAACACTGATGCGGTCCACAGTGAACTTCTGGTGAGCGCGACTTCTTCGCTGGCATTCTCCCCGGAGCAAGTGGCGTGCGTCTGCGAGGCTCTGCAGCAGGGAGGCAATGTGGACCGGTTGGCCAGGTTTTTATGGTCCTTACCACAGAGTGATTTGCTACGCGGTAACGAAAGCATCCTGAAAGCCCAAGCTCTTGTCGCTTTTCATCAGGCTCGGTACCAGGAGCTCTACAGTATTTTGGAGAACCACAGCTTCAGTCCGTCCAACCACTCCTCGCTGCAAGACCTATGGTACAAGGCACGGTACACCGAGGCAGAGAAAGCGCGTGGGAGACCCCTGGGCGCCGTGGATAAATATCGCCTGCGGAGAAAGTACCCACTCCCCCGGACTATCTGGGACGGGGAAGAGACAGTATACTGCTTCAAAGAGAGGTCCCGCAACGCGCTGAAGGATCTATACAAGCAGAATAGATACCCCTCTCCAGCCGAGAAAAGAAACCTCGCTAAAATCACGGGACTCTCCTTGACACAGGTCAGCAACTGGTTCAAAAACAGGAGACAGAGGGACAGAAACCCGTCCGAAGCACAATCAAAAAGGTGAGAAAGAACAAATAAATGATCAGTTGATTGCTTGATTTTACGCAAATGGAACAGTGTGCGTAATGGGACATTTAAATTGTAAATTAATTACCAGGAATAATTTTTGAGATTATTGCTGGCAAGGTCGAGCTGGCTTTCCTTGTATCATACACATGACTGCCTCTGGCTATTGCATGGAAATCGCCCATATAGCTTGGTGTGTGAGTTAACAACGTAAATAATTAACATTAGATAGAGTAATTCCGAAACAAAAAAAGTGTGCCAAGTAGCATACACGCCGCTAATGTTTTGAAATATGAGGCTGTTGCCATCCAGATCGGGTTTCATTTGCGTGTTCAGGCACTAAGAGCATGGATACCAGTCCAACATTAGCCTGCTCTATTCCGAACATAACTTTTATAGTCTAAATGGTGTTATAATGGTGTTATAAATAAGTTGTTTTACAGACTTAGCCTATAAGTATGAAATTATTAAATAGTCTCCTGACAGAGAGAGAGAGAGAGAGAGAGAGAGAGAGAGAGAGAGAGAGAGAGAGAGAGAGAGAGAGAGAGAGAGAGTGTGTGTGTGTGTGTGTGTGTGTGTGTGTGTGTGTGTGTGTTCAAAACCAACTGAATACCTCACCTGTGTGTGTTCAAAACCAACTGAATACCTCACCACATAAATCACTTTGGCTATTTCCTTTTCCTTTTAAGCCGAGAGGAATCAGAAAACCTCCCTTCAGCGTTTCGTTTGAAAATCCCCCACCCCCAGGCAGGCAGATATATTCCCTTCTTTTTATGTTTTCTTCTCTGTGAACAAAGCTCGCGCGCACCTGGTGGAGGCGACTTCTTTCTTTCTATCTCTCGCTCTTTCTCTCTCTCTTTCTCTCTCTCCCTCTCTCTCCATCTCCATCTCTCTCTCTGTCGCACACACACATACACATACGCATACGCAAATGCACGCACACACTTCCCGAAAGATGATCTCATAGGCATTTTTGCTTGAAGGACGTGTTTTGTGTTTGTAATCCAGTTCATTCGAATATGTGGAGGCCAATAATTATATTGCCAATGACTGAAAATGATTGTCCTTTCAGTGACAAAATAAGTGATTATAAGCCAGTTATTACGTTAATTTATGCAGAAGAGGAATAAGCTACCCTTCTTCAATAACTGGCTTGCAGGCCTCAGGACGATGAAGCAGAAGTTTCTCAGAGTCAATGAGGCTCTTTATTTCAGAGAGCGAGTCTTTTTTTGTAGGGAGGGAAATGCAGCTGTTTCAGTCACTCACTCATGATGAAAAATACAATTGGAAATGGCATTGTTCGATTTCTTAATATTTTCCTGACATTATAAAACTTAAAAAGTGAAGTTATGCAAACAAAAAAAATCAACAAAACCATATGCCAATCACCACCAAATTACAAATAAAGGTATTTGACCATTTGTGTTGTCACGCTGCGACCGCTGACATTTGTCACCCTGGAATGTAATTGCACCAAATGGTAGGCCCACTGTTGGTCGTATTGTCGTATAAGCCTACTATAGGTCCTGAAGCAGTATAAATAAAGGAGGGCTATAATCCAATTTATTCTCCATGGGATAAAACTTTTGGTAGTCACGACAGCTCTTTGAAGCCATGTTTGTGAGATCTCCATGGATCACCTCTGTAGTTGTGCCCACAAAGATCCTATAAAATTATATTTGTACTTTTGTGGTTGTATCACTATTTCTATAGGCTAAGACAGTTGAGGTATGGATTAAGTTGCATTGACAAGTCAGCCATATTTCTTAGTATGCAAATAATAACGTGTTTTCCAATATGTTCAAATCAAAATCAAATCAATTTTTATTTGTCACATGCTTCGTAAACATCAGGTGTAGACTAACAGTGAAATGCTTACTTATGGCCTTTCCCAACAATGTAGAGAGAAAAATAGAAAAATAATAGAAAAATAATAACACAAGGAATAAATACACAATGAGTAACTTGGCTATATACACGGGGTACCAGTACTGAGTTGATGTATAGGGGTACGAGGTAATTGCGGTAGACATGTACATATATGTAGGGGTAAAGTGACTAGGCAACAGGCTAGATAATAAGCAGTAGCAGCAGCATATGTGATGAGTCAAAAGAGTTAGTGCAAAAGGGGATCAATGCAGATAGTCCACGTAGCTATTTGGTTAACTACACTGAACAAAAATATAAGCACAACATGTAAATTGTTGGTCCCATGTTTCATGAGCTGAAATAAAAGATCCCAGAAATCTTCCATACACAAAGGAAGCTCATTTATCTCAAATTTTGTGCACAAATTTGTTTACATCCCTGTTAGTGAGCATTTCTCCTTTGCCAAGATAATCCATCCACCTGCCAGGTGTGGCATATCAAGAAGTTGATTAAACAGCATGCTCATTACACAGGTGCACCTTGTGCTGGGGACAATAAAAGGCCACTCTAAAATGTGCAGTTTTGTCACACAACACAATGCCACAGATTACTCAAGTTTTGAGGGAGGGTGCAATGGGCATGCTGACTGCAAGAATGTCCACCAGAGCTTTTGTAGTTTTAGAGAATTTGGCAGTATGTCCAACCGGCCTCACAACCGCAGACCGCGTGTAACCACGCCAGCCCAGGACCTCCACATCCGGTTTCTTCACCTGCAGGATCGTTAGATGGGGGGGGGGGGGGGGGGGGGTTGCGGAGGAGTATTTATGTGTGTAATAAAGCCCTTTTGTGGGGAAAAACTCATTCTGATTGGCTGGGCCTGGCTCCGCAATGGGTCGGCCTGGCTCCCAAGGCTGCACCCCTGCCCAGTCATGTGAAATCCATAGATTAGGGCCTAATTTATTTATTTCAATTGACTGATTTACTTATATGAACTGTAACTCAGTAAAATCTTTGAAATTGTTGCATGTTGTGTTTATATTTTTGTTCAGTATATTTAGCAGTCTTATGGCTTGTGGGTAGAAGCTGTTCAGGGTCCTATTGGTTCCAGACTTGGTGCATCGGTACTGCTTGCCGTGCGGTAGCAGAGAGAATAGTCTATGACTTGGGTGGCTGGAGTCCTTGACAATTTTTAGGGCCTTCCTCTGACACCGCCTAGTATAGAGGTCCTAGATGGCAGGGAGCTTGGCCCCAGTGATGTACTGGGCCACACGCACTACCCTCTGTAGCCTTCTGTTTACAGGCAATGACAGTTTATTCCTTGGTAGTGAGTGATGCAATATTTGATTAATTTATGCAATGTTTACCTCCCAACATACACACACGCACATACTACCACTGAGTGAGAAACACACACGCACACACACTTTCTCAACATTCTCACAGGTCTGTCTATGATTATTTCGGTTTCAAAATGTGTCTTTCTCACTCACTCTGTCAGTAGTAAGACTCCACCTCTGCGCTCACAAATGACAGCAACATACTGTAAGTCAAACTAGTAGGACAACTTATTTCTCTGACCTCTATTCTGCCCCACACAATTCTATCATTAAAGTCTACCAAAAGTGTAGAGGAGGACATATTTCATTCAGACAGTCCCTGAGCTCCTTTCTATATCTCACTTTCCCTTCTCTGGCTTTTTTTCCACAGTGAATCTGATGGCAACCACAGCACAGAGGATGAGTCTAGTAAAGGACAGGAGGAGCTCTCTCCATGCCCCATCTCCAATTCATCTGACGGGACGATGACCCATGGGGCCCTCCCCCTGCAGACAGGGTCTCTGGACAGTGGGTTGGTCATTCAACAGATTGGGGACATCAAGATGCCCCCTGGATCCAGCAGTGGGGTGCTCTTCAACGGGAACCTAGTGACCAGTAACCCCTCCACTGTCTTCCATAACGGTGGCTCGTCTTACCTCCAGGCCCCCAGCAACATCCTGTTCAACGGGCTCAACCTGGGCGTCCAGCCCCTGGCCTTCAACTCCCTGCGGCCCTCTGGGGGGGTCTTGATGGGGGGCTCTGGTATGGACATACAGATGCAGGCAGGCCAGGAGAAGGGGTTGGGTGGCTCCAGTGTGGACTACTCCTCCTACTCTGGCTGTGTGAACGGGGCAGAGGTGAAACTGGAGGGGGTTAACAGCATGGCAGCTCAAAATGGCGGCTCGTCCGTCCTCACGTTCAGCTCATCCTCAGGGGCGCTCCAGCTGGGCGGTTACAGTCAGGTCCATGTGCACAGCAGCATATCCGACGGCAATGGGGCATCTCTGCTCAACAGCAATGTGGGTCTTCCTCCTCTGCAGCTCCCCTCTGGCTCCTCCTCCTCAGCACTCTCACAAGGTGGGTTGACTTTAACTGGTTGTCAGTTCTGTGTCAGCTACATTGAAAACTGAAAATCCACATTGAAGTTTTGTCGATAACAGCTTCAGAGGTATTGGTGAGAAATAATGATTGTTTCGAGTATTTTAGGATTTAATGTCTTCTTCATTGCTAATGAAAGAGAAATTATCTGTGCATTTACAAGAATATGGTGGTAGTTGACCCTAACCTTTCAAATATACCAAATATTGCAACCAAACTCCTTTCTTCTTCAATAAAATGAATGAATCCTGGATTGAAATAGCAATGGGTGTAGTCATCAGCTCTGTTATGCGTTCAATATGTCTAAGCTACCTTAGCATTTGGCCTTCCTGACTTTGGGTCTGAGCCCAGAGGCTTGTTACTGCACTGCAGTGAGTTGGTGCTAGATGCAAAGGCCAGACACACATACACACACACACACTCCATTATCTTGTGTGGCGATATATGGTGGTCCTGGAAAATTATAGAGATGAATAGAACACAGGTTCTGAGTCATCATCACTGCACACTCCTGACCTCAGGGGGAGAGAGGAGGAGAATCTGTTTCAGACAATCACAGGGCTGAAAAACGTACTAACGAGGAGAGAGTCATTACAGCACTTACTTTGACAAAAAGCAGAGACCTCATACCAGGACAACAGAAAATTCAAATGGAAAGAAAAAAAGCCTTTTCGTTGGCCCATAGCAGGCTTTTACATCAATACAACTCTCCTGGGTTCCACAGGGTCAGCTTCAAAAACCAGAAGGTGTGAGAGAGACACAGCAGAGATTTCAGATGGATTTCTGCTGTAAGTTAAGAACATACAGCAACAGTACAGTAAGAGTGAAGCCAGAGATTTGGAGGACTATGTTAGTTGAGTCGAGCAGGAGTGGGTTATAGTGGTTCAGAGATAAGGGTATAAAGTACTGTTTGTAAGGTGTATAAGATGTATAATGACCTGTCATTTGATTATCCCAGGTACAATCCAAGTGAACAATGTAGCAGTCAGTTCTTCCAGTGAGGACTCCTACCACCACCAGCACCATCAGGACAAGCTGGCCATGGCCTCCATGCATCCCAGCACGGTTCTCTACAGCATGGGCAATGCTGGACAGACTTCCATCAAGAAGGAGCCCCTGGAGGGAGGTGGCGGCGGTGGGGTGTACTCTTACCACCATGGCCTTCACCTGGACCCCAGTGGTCAGCTCAGCTACTCCTCAGCCCCCCTAAACTCAGAGGAGGTCCCCTCCAGCCAGGGCCCCCCCCCCTCCTCTGACGTAACCACGGTCAGCTCCTCCAGTCCAGAGCCTGAGGTCTACACCACCCTCACCGTCAGCACCCCTCTGATGGCCCAAACAGACCCGAACGGCCACCTCCTCCAGTCTGGGGAGTACCTCAGAGGCCACAACCCACAGCCTGTCCCCTCCTCACACCTCCTGGGCCCTGGCATGAACAACAACTACATGTCTGTGTCTGAGAATAAGGTGGACGCTAGTGGCGATGGGGTGAATGAGATGGTGCGTGTCATGTGTGGGGAGATGGAGCCGGGGGAGGAGAAGGAGCTGGCCAAATTACAGACAGTGCAGATGGACGAGGATATGGCTGACCTTTAACCTGTAACCTATGACCTTTCATAAGCACTCATATCTGCCCAAGCAGTGATGTGGTGAATCTTTTTACATTTTTGTGTGTTTTTTTACCATTCATTTTCTCTAAGTGTTAAATTATTTGCTAATGTTGTGTTCATTTTACCTTACAATGCACTCTATTCAGATACAAACCCCTTGGATTGGCACCATGAAGTCATCCTAATTCATTATTTTAAAAGCCCCGATCTTTCCTCTCTGCCTCACAGAAAGTCATAACTAGCTGTTATTTGTCCCTTGCACTGCAAAAGTCCCTTGCATGCATTTGAACCACATTTTAAGTGTGCATTTTTTATATACAGCACCTGCTACTTCCCGTTGAGTGGACTTGATCCGCAGAAGCAGGTGTTGGAATGGCCCTGGTCATGTGACCAGGATGTTCCTCCAAACTAAATGCGTCATCTGGGTCAACCCAAAAAGGTCATTTAGTAGGGGGAGGGAAGCGTCTCTGTGAAAATGTTCACTAAACCACTACAACTGCTGCACTAAAAACCACATATAAAACCACATACGAATAACAGGACCATCACTGTGCACAGCAGTTGCTGATTTATGCAATTTAGTCCTCTTCAAATTCTCAGAAAGTCATTCAAGTCTACCATCCTCCATAGTACATTCATAATTTGTTACATATCATGTGGGCTGAGGATGATTCATCATATTTATGGCATGGTTTCTGTTCGAGGGACATAAGAAGAAATGAATGTGCCTTTATGCCCCGTAGAATGTCAGGCTGCACTGACCTCTCCTAATTTGCACTAGCATCAAAACACTATAACAGAAGATTGTAGCTTCAAAGAACCTACCTTTCTCTCTGGACTGATCAAACCATATCAAATCTATACTGTGAAAACATATTTCAAGCTTCAACCATTATTGGAGACAGGGAGAGGTTATAAAGGGGTTGTGACACAGTCTGTATCTATTTGAACATAGTAAGACCACTACATGCTGTTTGGCAACAGTATGTCCCATCATTCATTTTGAAATGTCTCTCAAACTGTCTCTGTGAAAATATACATCAGTTATATTTGTCTACACAGTAAGATGCAAGCACATATGTATATTATTGACTGGTGTGCCTGTTTGTGTGTTTGTATGAGAAACCGGAAGGGGAGCATTGTGTTTGAGGGAGGAGAACTACATGCAGTCCGAAGTGTTTTATATGGAGAGGGATTTCTATTGTGTCCCTTTGCATGGCAAACTGAGTTAAGAATATTACAATGTCCTGGTTACTAGTGCCTGTTATTTTCTAAATACGATTGAGTGTGGCTAACAAGTTCTCTACACTCTATGATTGATGTATAGGTGCAGAGTGAGACACATGCAAAACTTCCATGGTTTTCAGATAAAGCTATTCCAATTTGGGTCATTTCCTGGTTTTATCAGATAGGCGCATAAGCCAGACATCTCCTGTGATGTTGAGGTAGGGAGTGAGTGGGCCTCATAAGTCAACAAATGTATGTGGAGCACTTCACAACAGAAGACTTGAACTCCACACAGACACACAACACAAACCATAATACCCCATCTCAACCACATGACCAGCAGATGTCATTTACACATAACAGTAAGACATTAAGTATACATCCATACATCCATGTACATAGAGTGGCCAGTACATTTTCCTTTGTCAGGTTCCATCACCTAAACCCCCACTCAGAGTAGAGCTATGAACAGACTGCAAACTGACGTAAAGATTACATTACAAAACAACTTTGTCTACATGCTCTGATGTCATGTACCAAAAATAAGCCATAGGCATATGGTAAAACAGATAGTTTTTTATTTTAGCTTGAACTGTATGTTTGTAATCTGAAATGATGTGAATGTATTTTTCTAAATCTCCATACTACATTAAAAGTTTTATATTTATAAAAACATAAAACTGTTACTAGTTTTTGTCATGAAAAAAGTGTTAATTTGGCTCCTTTACCATGACTAAATAATTTCTAGATTATTTCTTAATTAAACATGTGAGTTGGGTTTGTGTTTAATGTTATGTCTACAATGGACCTAAATTCTCGAGACAGGAAGCATACGTCTTCTATATATTTAAAAGGCTTAAAAAGCCAAACTCTGTGAGGATGGGGGTATAACAGGCGTGCCCTGATCCAACAAGCCTAGAACTGCGCTCTGCAAACCTGCAGTGATCATTTGCACATGCCTGGCAACCTGGAGTTCATTAGCCCTCCTTTTCTCATCTCAGCCGCCGTAATTCAAATAAACAGCAATGAGATTTCCAGAGGTACTGCTCTTAGGGGTGGGGGGTCCACAGCTCCACACAGCCCTGTCCATGGGCCCTCTCCCTGGGCTAACCCAGAGCAAGCTCTCCCTGGCTCACTCAGCTGATCCACATGTGGATGAATGAATCTGAAGTGCTGTCACTCACAGGCACTGTGTGTCTGTACAGAGAAATCCTGAACTACTCACATGGCTTTGGGGGATTTTTTTATGATCTTACACCCAATTCTGATTCACTCCGCCGGCTCCCAAGTAAGGCTAGGTAAGATAAAGCGGGGAGAGGGGGCGGGGGAATGGTTGCATGGATGGATACGTAGATGGAGAATTTATAATGGTTTTGAGACTGGACTTCAGGTCTTATCCTCTTCGTAGATACTTTTTATGGGTTCTATTCGGATGACCCAAATAAACAGAAGGTGTTTGTCTCCGCTCACTCAATGGTGAGAGAGGGGGAGAGTGGGGGAGAAAAGGAGAGGGAGAGACAGGTAACTGGTGTATGGTTACCTGTGCACTGGTGACTTCGTCGCCATGGGCATTGGATTAGCTGATTGTTAGGTATCAGGTGATGCCTCCTGTAATATTGAAGAGGGTGAAAACGGCTTTGTTGAAGCCCTGAACAATGTCCCATTGGCAAAGGGAGCCCATGTTCTCTTGGTCTCATGGGGTGTGGGCCCCAGAAAGCTTCAAATTAGATTAGAAGAAAATGAACAGCACAGTCAGTCCTTTTAAAGGAAGACTAAACATTATTTTGAAGAACATCTGTTTGTAATATTAGTATTTTATTTTTATTACAGTATAGCCTACAAGGCAAACTTGATAGATGGATGTATTGCATATTTTGAAAAAAAAGTTTAAAAAGTAACCAATAGATATGTCACTTTTAAAACAACACACTTTTTTATATGAGATGCGTCCAGCGGCTATCGTTCACCATCAAATACACTCCAATCCAACCACATAATAATGTTACCAAATAGTAGAACAAGTAAGATGTATAATTTTGTCCGCAATTTAAAACGTGCACTGTAAAACATGCGCGGGCGAGCAGTAAAAGAAGCGAACGCACCAGAACCGAGGCCTTATTAAAAACGTTGACCTCTGATCTTTTGGATGGTTTCAAAGCTGACATTTAATGCGGCGCAGCAGACTGCAAGCCATATGTAACATGACCTGGGGAGTGCGGTACTCCGCTGCTCCACGTCCCACTAATGAGAGGCCAGGGGTCGTAGGGTGCTGCGCCGCTCCAAAAGACCCACCACCAATACTTAACCCACGGAGATGCATTTGTGCGGTTCCGAAAGAGAAAGGAAAAATAAATTAAACTAAAGCTAGCAAATATAAGTACAATTATAAATTGTTGTTGAAAACGGGCACTCACGATGTGAGATGTGTGTGTGACTAAAATCCATTGGGAACGACTGAGGATAGCTTATAGGCCTAGTAGTTTTCACCATCAGATACCACAGTGCAATATTTGACTTCGACTTCAGATAATTGAGTTGTTATCAGGCGTGAGAAAATATCTGCACATGCTCAGTCCATCGTCCACAACGAAAAATAAAAGGAAAGGTGCGACCTGGGGCAATTTAATGGTCTGTTCTGCACCATAACGGCAACGTATAACATATGCGTAAAAACGATCCAAACGTGCACTACACATGCCCGTGTGTTTCCATCCATCTCTATCCCCCCCCCCTCCCCCCCTCACACATACACGCGCACCGGCGCACGCACACATGTTGGGGTGTAGTTCTACACTTAAATGGGATAAATTGAGAGAGAGGCAACAGCTGGGAGTCCGCATCATCACCACACCGGTGAAATTGTATTTCCCATAGAAACACACCACTCTGTAACAGGAGCGACGCAAATAAGACTCATATGACTATTGAGGAGTTTGACTTTGTCTGAAAGCCATAAGAACATGATAGCTCCTTTCCCCATGCCAAATGTCACCTGCCCAATCAATGTTTACTATAGATGTTTTATTAGTAGTGTTACTGTGCCACTAGATCCTGGTTCGAATCCAGGCTCTGTCGCAGCCGGCCGCGACCGGGAGACTCATGGGCGGCGCACAATTGGCCCAGCGTCGTCCAGGGTAGGGGAGGGAATGGCCGGCAGGGATGTAGCTCAGTTGATAGAGCATGGCGTTTGCAACGCCAGGGTTGTGGGTTCGATTCCCACGGGGGGCCAGTATAAAACAAATATGTATTCACTAACTGTAAGTCGCTCTGGATAAGAGCGTCTGCTAAATGACTAAAATGTAAAATGTAATGTAAAATGTTACCAACACTCATAAGCATTTAAAGATAATGGTAAACTTAATTTAGCACATAAAAACATTAACACTGAATATGCTCTCCAAGTAGCCTAATTAATTGGAGGGTCCGTTTTACGCATTGTGAATATCAAATCTCGATCTGTGCATAACGTCATGGGTTGTTGTTTATAAACTAGCGCCCCCTTCCTACCAGTAACCTACACATTGTTTGAAACCAATGGTCAAGTGGTTTAGAAAATGGGGACAACACATTTCAAAACATTGTGGTTATTTTATTACATAGAACGCTACGGTAAAGCCTCTTAATCGAATTATCGTTTAACAACATCAGGACCAAAGCTTGTTTACTGACCTGCTGTATAGCCTTTTGTAGCCTATGAGGTGGCCCTGCGAGGAAAGGGAGCCGTAATGATTTTGATGGGAGGTGACCGCAGTGCTCTTATACAAGGCCTAATTTTCTAACATGACAGGAAACTCTGTTAAGCTGATAATTGCGGCTCCAATTTCATTTAACTCACTCATGTCAACAGTTGTGTTTTGTGAAAGCAACCAATTCGGAGTATTGCACTTAAAGTGATGAATAGGCGTGTATGTTTTACAACAAAAATGTAGGTCTGGGCAGGGCCTATTGGCCAATTCAAACTAATAGAAAAGGAAAAAAGTATTTTTGTGGTAATTAAGAATCACATAGGCCTATCCTATACTTCGTCTCAAGTGAGTGAGTTAAATATTCAGAAGATTCTGCAAAAAATGCAAAAATGTATATTTACACAGACACAACAACATTAGGGTTATAAAAAATATAGGCATCTAAACCAGACTTGATGTTGCCTAACCGCACACATTTTTGTTTAATTAAGAATGTTTGCTGCATACTTTGCATAGTTTGAAGATATACAGGCCTATGCAACGAATTATACGGGGTGTCAAATATTATAGGCCCACCTTTTAATTTAAAAAAGTTTTACAGCAATGAATTATTAGGCTTGGGCTATGTCCCAAATTATTTAGATTTATCCAAGTAGGCTAGATATATTAAGGAAAGCCATGGACTACATAGGCTACATTCCAAATGTTTCAGCCAATTTGAACAGTATCAGCATTGTTCCAGTCAACAGCTGAAATAGCAGTTTTGATTAAGCGAAAACCATCTGCTTGCTTGTGTGATCCCGGCCTTGCTGGACTTTCATAATTTTACTCTCTCCTCATTTTTAGAAAGAAAAAAGCTTCACTCACAAAACGCAACATATAGACGGTTTGATATGAGATATGGTGACGTTTTTATGAAATGCTTTCTCGGTTTGTATTTGTGGATTGTTTTCTTTCTCCCTCTCATTTTCCATCCACCGACGTTGTGTGCAGTAGCAGAGACGTCGCCAATCGTCATCGTTGCCCGGGGGCAGTGGAGGGGAGTCCACATCTTGAAATAATCACGACCTGAACTAAGATTGGGCACGTCCCCCTGGCTTCTCGGGTTAAAGGAGGAGGCGCGGTGCAATGTGGTAGAGATATTAGAGAAACCTGAGAGCGGCCCATAAGACAGCTCATTTGCTGGAGCGCTTGGGTTTAGAGAATTGAGCGGAGCGAACCCCATAGGCCTAGGCCTAATGTCGAGGACCGACAGGCCAACCGCACAATATGCACCTTTTATTCACTGAATGATGGGGCCTTCGTTTTCGATAGCCTACCCCGACTTCATTCATAACTTCTTGTACGGTCTAATTTGCATGGCAGCATGCACATCTCTCAGCCAACTTTAGGCTACTTGGGATGCTCGTTTGATGTTGTTTTCCATTATAATCAACACAACTGGGAATAGGTCGAGCAATTGTACATTATTGGCCATAAGTTAATCAGGAGGTAGTTATGTTGAGATCACAATGATCTCAGCAAAGCGTTGGGTCTTAAACTTAATGTATTGCATACCCTCGTTCATTTGCTTTTATGATGGAAGGTCCATTTACAAAAGTGCACCTAAATCAACATTTTAATCTTAATGGTATAGGCCATTATTTCCAGACAGATGAAGCTGGATATTCTAGATCCGCCTCTCTTCCAAGCACGAGGGTTGTTCTTACACGTGTCTAAAACCACAGAAATTGATTAAACCAAGCTCGATTAAACCCTTATAACTGGTAGGCCTAGTGGTGTGTAGATAATATGTTAACAGTAAATGAGATAGGCCTATATTTCATATGTAAAATCACATATTGGTTAAAGATGTAGGCCTAATGGACAGAATAAATAATACTGAAAATAATATTGGCTGCCCTAGAAATGCTCCTTTCCGGTGTCTACTTCTCAACGTGTTGCCCGAGAGTCAAGTTGCAACTCCTGGGAAAGATAAAGAAATTTGATCTATCCTTCAAAACAACGACTCAACGACCAAGAGCCCGTGACTCACAGAACTCATTTACTAATGGATAGGTTTTATGTTTCACGCCACAACATTGAGGACAGCAGTGGAGAGACGATTTATCTCTAGGGAAATAACCTTGGGGAGGCGGGAATATAAATGTACATCATTTCGTAGAAATATAAAGATTTCACACCATAATAAATGAACAATTAATGCAGTACTAAGAGTATCCTAAAATGTACTGACGCAAATTGAAACGAAAAAAAAATCGGGAAAAAACATATATGACAGAACATCAAAATTATTAAATGTAAGACTAATTGTTTAGGCGAGGATTTTAGAAAATGAAAGAATTAAACAAGCTGCAAAAAAATTACAATTAAAATTAAAACATAATAACAATAATAATGATAATAATAATATCAATGAAATGTCCATCGATGTGTTAACACATCAGGTAGGCAGGCCTCTGATGCACATGCGTAAAGAGGAGTCACACCAATCAAATATAATGCAATACGTTATTACTGATGCACAAACTGTATATCATAACTGTGGGTTCATTAGAGCTATTATTTGGACATAAAGTTAGAGGAAATATATTCCATCAGATTCCAGGTTCTATACCACACGATGCTATTTGCAAATCTCAGTTGTAAACTCAGTGAAATAGCCTACATTTGATGCATGTTTAAAGTCTTAGGCGACCATTCTACAATATAAGGCCTAGGCATATATCTTTCATCAATAGATCATCTTGCAATATTGACATACAGAAGCCTTACAAAGAACTATCCTAAGTTATTTTTGGAATAAGATGTTCATTCACACTATCAATACCTGCACGTTTCTTAACTTTTCTTTCCTGTCTAAAAGCCCCAACCTTTTTTTGTCAGGCACTCATACGTAATGGCACGTATAACTATCATAGGAAGTTATTAAATTATATCACCTCATAAAATAAACTACTTGGTAATTAATAGACTATGAAAAATAGGAGAGAAATACACAATCTGCGTGCTATTAACGCGGTGGCAAGATGAGGGGGGTTAACGATGACAATAATTAATAATGCATGGTGATGCAATAAATTACTTCAACTATATTCATCGATCTTATACTTCACTTCAAGCCTTGTCTGAAACTTTCCAAAAACATGGGAGGTTCTGCATGGAGAGAATGTTAAAAATGCTCTTTAAGAAGTCTGTAATAATTGATTAGCATGTAGGTACCTCTGCTCCCTCAGCTAAAGCTGGAGAGGAGTATGGGGTGGGGGTCTCCAATTTCAGCCCCTGACGTACTCCCTCCAGGGAGGAAACGGAGCTGCAAACCCAGTTCTGCTCGGCTGCCAGGGTATAGGGCAGTGGGAGAGCCAATCAACGAATCGCGCAGCGCTCTCTTTAAGCCTGACATATCTCCAACAGGAACAAATTGTCCCAACAATCAACATCCGAATCTCCCGTGCGCATCAGGGGTGGAGTGGATATTGTCCGGACGCCGGATTGCAGTGGGTTCTGGAACACAATAACAAACCAGTGAAGAATATTTAGACAGAAAAACAGCATCCTTCTGGATACCGGCGTTGGGCTGGGGAGTGAGACCCGACATCATGTCAATACTACCTTCGTTTGGGTTTACCCAGGAGCAAGTCGCCTGCGTCTGCGAGGTCCTGCAACAAGGAGGTAACCTGGAGAGGCTCGGTCGTTTTCTATGGTCTCTCCCAGCTTGTGACCACCTCCACAAGAATGAAAGTGTACTGAAAGCAAAGGCGGTGGTCGCCTTCCACCGAGGGAACTTCAGAGAGCTCTATAAGATCCTGGAGAGCCACCAGTTTTCCCCACACAACCATCCCAAGCTGCAGCAGCTGTGGCTGAAAGCGCATTACGTGGAGGCGGAGAAATTGCGCGGCCGACCGCTTGGAGCCGTGGGGAAGTACAGGGTACGAAGGAAATTCCCTCTGCCCCGCACGATCTGGGACGGCGAGGAGACCAGCTATTGCTTTAAGGAGAAGTCCAGGGGTGTTCTTAGAGAGTGGTACACGCATAACCCTTATCCCTCCCCGCGAGAGAAAAGGGAGCTGGCCGAGGCCACGGGACTGACCACTACGCAGGTCAGCAACTGGTTCAAAAACAGACGCCAGAGAGACAGAGCCGCAGAAGCTAAAGAAAGGTATGTTTTGACCAAAAAAGTACAATAAAATGTTGCCATAGTAGGATTAATAGTAGGATTGAATAAACTAAACATATTCACATGCGTCATTTACGCAAGTGATTATGTTTAGTTTATTTTGTTGAATAAATTCCCAACTAATTGATTTAAAGTGACATGCCCTTATGCAGATTTTTCGAAGGCCCAACTAATATTAAAATATATTTATACTAAAGGTTTTATCCATTTTAAATGACAATTTATCCACTGTAAATTAAATTTCAAACATTTAGTGTGATACCCCAAAACAAAAACCTATGGCCTACATACATTTGAAATGGAACCAATGACAGACTATTGACTGTATCCTTATAATTTCGATAGTGTTCTAAATATTTATGGCATCAGAATAAGTTATAGCTACTTAGACAGTGTTACATGTACAATTGGAGCTACAGGTCACGGGTTTCAGTGGTCAAGATATGGAATCAGTATGATACAAGATATTATTCTAATGCAATAATTAAAAGTATTGCGTGTGACCAAAAGTTTCAATTTTGCAATTGAAATGTCAAAATAATAAAAACGGATTGAATATATTATTTATTGCATTATCCTAAAGTTTAAATCAATTTTGGATTGGCTTGTTCTTGGCTTATTATTGAAATGTCTAGCTTGTATTTGGCCTATATCGATTATGTAAACCTGGGTCCAAAATAGTTTATTCACAACCTAAAATCACCAACACGAAATCATGCAACAAACCAATGATGACAGTACTCAACTTTTGTATAGTTCAAATAATTACAAGACAATACGAGTGTTAGGAATTGGTTGGGCTATATGCTGACTTGTTTCTTTTTGTGTTAAAAGCTTTATAATCCTCAAAGTGGTATGATAGTATGCTATAAACATTTATATTTGTCAATTTTTTAAATATCTTCCCTTCTCAGAGAAAACAGCGAAAACAACAACTCCGGCAACAACAAACAGAACCAGCTGTCTCCCCTCGATGGCGGCAAGTCGCTCATGTCCAGCTCGGAAGATGAGTTCTCTCCACCACAAAGCCCTGATCAGAACTCTGTGCTTTTGCTCCAGGGAAATATGAGTCACCCCGGCGTCTCCTCTTACCATATGACGGGCCTCGGTGGCGCACAGCCGGTGCATGGAATGCACGGACACCCGCACCAACTCCAAGACTCGTTGCTGGGACCTCTAACATCGAGCCTTGTGGATCTAGGCTCCTAAAGACAAACTGATACTATCTTTGAAAAGACTGATAACTACCAGCTTGAGTACATATATGAAATTACACTATGGTACCTTATAACTAGACTGACCTCTGTCTGTCGTTAAATTTGGTTAGAACTATAACGCAATTATTTTATGCGCTTATCCTGACTTAGGAGGTACCCTCCTTCCCGTGAAAATACAATCATACCCCCTTTTATGAACTCTTAAGTCAACGAGACACTTAAACTGGACTGCCCTTTTGCTTAATTTATGATATTTTTTCTTCAGATTAAATTTATAGCAACTTCCTGCTATGGAAACTAAGAAGCGACGTTTTAATTAAAATCCTAATTAGTTTCCAATAAAACTAAAAGAGACGTCAATTCTGTTTCATGTGTATTATTTGTATGTCCACTCAATAAAATAAATAGCATTATATCATAGCCTATATCCATCCCTCAAAGATATGTAGGGCATGCAGAAAAAATATGTCCTATAATAAACCGAAACATTTTGGTCAGTTTTTCTTCCTTGGTATGGCATTGAGTCATCTGCATTTTACGCACGTCCATGGCAGCAAACAATACAAAATATCTGTTCAACTTTTGGGCAGGGTGTATTCGAAAAGCACATTTTGTTTTTTAGGCCTCTATGTCACTATTTGGATGGATAGAAACCACGGTCAAAGTTCTCTGTTTAACTCTACAGACAAAATTGACATATTTTCATCTTTCGTTGAAATTGTTGCATTAAATTTCACCCAACGTGGGATTTCAGATATGTTAAAGGGGATGAAACTCAAAACATGATAAGTTCAGAATAACAACAAAACATCCGGATTGGGAACTGTAAAATGTGGGCCCAAAAATATTTTAATTAGATTAAAAAAGGGCCATGAGGTATGCACAACAGAGCAGTTTTGTCGATGATATTTAAAGCCATGTTTTGCCCAAGGCGAAGAAGCCTGGTTCTCGACCGTGCTCCATGAGCGCTGCGGATCATTACGTCTGTGTTGCGGTGTTTACTTTGCTCTCTCCAAGTGTTTGTTCTGTCGGTTCTGGGCCACGGAAAAGCAACACCATCTGCCCAAGGCGCGCTCACACAGTGATTTTACATTAATCTGTAGCCTACTACGAATAACAAATAAGTCTAGAAATGGATCTATGTTTTTTAAATACTTCCTCCTTCATCCTTGTTCAACATCATGCACAACTTTTAGAATTACAATACAATTAGTATTGAACCCTGTTATCACTCATGTTATAGGCTAAATATCCTATAATAATGATGGGAATTGAAAGCTCAATGATAAAACCACCATCACCAACAACAATAATAAAAACAGTAGCCTAATCTGCGGCTTATTGTTATTAGTTATTAGCATATTACTATAATTGTCTTATAATAATACTAATAATATATTAATAATAACACTACTATAATACTATTAATAATTATTGTTGCAATCATTGTCATTCGAATATATCGAATATGAAAATGTAAGGCTGATTTGTATAGGACATTAGGGTCTACAGCCGCGTTAGGCTGTAAAGCGATCCTCAATGGACAATAACATTTCTAGCGGACAATAACATTTATAGCGGACAATAACATTTATAGCCTACTCCAATGGCCAAATATCTGCGTCATATTTTGAAAAATGTCTCACTTGCACTCCAAAAGTTTCTGGTAACAGAGGACAACTCCTCTGCCCCCCAACCCCTACCCATTCGGCTCATGTCAGGGTAAATTGTTTTGAACAGAGAGCACGGAGGATTTCCTGGGCCTAATCTGAACCAGTTGCTGCTAGCATTAGAGCCTGATTGCCAAGATTGCAGGGCTATAGCATGATGAACCGTGGCCTGGGGCAGTCTGCATCCCAGAGGCAGTTATAATTTGGGACTGTTTCTTAACCTATCATGACCCCCAACCTACCATGACTCCCAAATACAGTGGAGTGAATATTTACCATTTACAGCCATGCATTTCATATTTTGAAGTGATGCGGTTGGTACATTTAGAATAGTTTTCCAATAATATGTTATACCAGCCCTACAGCTACCATCCTACTAAAATATACTTGAAACTAGTTATCCCTGTTTATAAATGAATCCTTTGAATCTAATAAGGAGGAACATTTGGACCTCATATGAACTCTAAATAAAGCAGGAACCTGTTATTTTATCAACCCCACTGTCTTTGATTCACAGGAGACACATAAACAAGTCTGTCTCAAAAAAGTGCCAGGGACTCAAATGTAGGTTAGGAATATTCTGCACTCTGCCTCCCACTCACAAGCAATGTGCAGAACACCTTTGATTTACAAAATATACATTTTAGACCAAATATACAAGAAATCTCCCATGTGACTGCACGCAGAGAAAAAATATGGTCTGATTGGCTAACAGGCAATAACAAAGGCACCAAAGTGAATGTGCCAGTTCATCTAGGGACAATATGTTTGGTAAAGGATGGACACACAGGAGATTACTATGTGCCATACAGGAATGAAGCCATCAATGTCACCTCTACAGGGGGTGTAAGTAGAATATTAATTCAATCCCTTGCGGAAACTCCAACAAGGCTTTTAATCACGCCTAAATCCCGCACTTCGGATCCCAACCGAACACTGCGCGTTCACACTGGACAGTTAACATGGATACACACATAAACTGTTTCTACTGTATCTGGCACATAGATCATTCCTCCTTTCAGTTCCACAAGTGGAGCACTGGTGCAGCAGTGCAGCATGTGTGGGAGGAATGGGCCTAAGCCTCAGGCGCTGGGCTCCTTCACTAGAGCTGAATGTGATGTGCCATCAGGTCCACTGTGAGCTGACCGGTGCCAGTAACAGCAGCTGCTAATGGACAGCAGAGTCGTCAGAAGGGCATTGTTTTTTTCATGGATATGACTTGCAGTGGCATTAAATCAATGTCCGGAAAGGCCTTGTCGGGTGTAAATAAACATGAAGAGAGTAAATTAAAGCCCACAGTCTGTTCTAAAGCGTGGGAGAGGGCTCTGGTATGTCGATTTTGGTAAGCACTCAGAGTGAGTAAAATGATCCATCTACAATGAGGACAAAAGCCAAAGGTAAGGAACTTGGTCTCGGGCTGGCTTTCTCAGGTCTAGTGCCTGCAGGTAGCCTTACCCCCACATGGGAGCATTGTGTGAGACAATCCCAGGTATCCATAACCACAGGCTGTATGAGGGCTGTGGGCATGGGGAGGTGGAGGTAGAAGAGGGGTGATGATGGACAAAAGGATCTTTTCAGGTCTGCCGCAGGGAGAGGTGGGGGTGGCGGGCTTGTGGGGAGATTTCCTTAGCAATGATGCATGGATCTGACAACGCTCCAGCCTGGCTTGCCCCAGAGGCAGACTGTGTGTGTGTGTGTGTGCAAGTGAGAGAGAGAGAGAGAGAGAGAGAGAGAGTGCTATAATACAGGGCTATACACCTTTGAACAGCTGTTCTCCGTAGTGTGTCTAGGTAAATATTGGGTGTGTCTCCACTCAGACAAGTGGTCAAGCAGGAAGCCTCTGGTACAACAGGAAGCTCCAAGTAGCGTTGGCGAAAGAAATATTTATCTCTATCTCCCACTATGCTGAGTGATGGATGACCCAGAGTTCAAAGACAAGGAGGAGCACAGACTCCTGATGATCCCAAGCTATTAGGGTGTAAGATAACATGTGTGTCAAATGAAGGGCATCATGTAGAGCAGACAATGAATGGGAATTTTTATATCTTTACCAATATATAAGGTGATGGACAAGATGAAACTCGATTCGGATGCCTTTGAAAGAGGCTTGTAAAGAGAAATATGCCTGGAAGGCCCGGGCTCATGTAACCGACCCTTACAAAGACAAAGCTTGACCTGGTTTCAGAAAATCAGATATCAGTATTTTGGGAACTTAGCAGGAAAAGCGATATCTAGATTTATTTTCTAATATTGAATTTTGAACACAGGTGACTTCAGTCTTGGATGTTGGAACTGAATATTTCCCCAGATTGTCAGCTCTTGTTATCCTTTGCCAATTCTAGTCTGAGCACACTACTGTGATATGCCTTAGAGAGGGCTGATTGAGCTAATGTTACCTGGCTGTATGCAGTGGTCCCAGGGGCGTTGGGGCACAGGCAGACACAACAGGAGGAAGTGGTATGGGATATGGGATAATGAAATATACCCCACTGTCCCATGGGCCATCACCTCACCTACCCCAGTGGTTCATAAACAGCTCAAGTGACTCAGCCCCAAACCACACCGCTTCCTCCCTCCAGATCCCGGGGCTAAATGTAGTTTGTGTTTGTTTGGTGACGTGAGAGTGACAGGTCCCAGAAATCGAGCTTCCATCCCACTCCCTGCTCCCCTCGCCTCTCATCTCCATACTCCAGTACAGGATAAAATACCCTTGTTTGGTTCTCAAAAAAATATTTCAGGAAATGAAAGTTGTAACACGATCCTCTGTGTGCCAAACGTCTCCCTGATCAGGGACAAAAGGCACAGAGAAATCTGCTCAGGCTATTTTAGCCTGCAGATGATAGAGGGAGCGTGGTAGCATGAGGGAGAAATTGAGAGAGAGAGAGAGAGAGAGAGAGAGAGAGAGAGAGAGAGAGAGAGAGAGAGAGAGAGAGAGAAAGAGAGAATGAGGGACAGAAACAGAGCGCAAAAACAGAGGAAAAGGTAGAGAGTGAGAGGAACTGCAAGATAAAGAAAGATTCAGAAAAAGTAGCAAATAAGGAGAAACAGGAGAGAAAATAATATCAAATGGGAGAGGGAAGGAAAAGGATAAAGAGGGGGATGGGAACTGCTATAAACTCTTTGCTGAAACAAAACTAACAGCACTTTGGACACAGGACCCCTATGCCACAGATACGCGTGCACTAAGGAAAATAAACATCCCATTCCTGCCCTATCCTATATTTCCAGCAAGCCTCTCTTGTGGGAATGCCTCTGTGGCTCGTCATTCAGAAGAGGTTCATGGTTATGCTCTAGTTACAGTTTTTTTCAATCATTTTCACAATGCTTGGTACAAAACTCAAACCAAATCATCAAAAAGGCAGTTCTTTCAAAACTCTAAGCACATTTTCAATTGACTAAGTACAACACACAATCATAAAGACTATTTTTCTTCAAACTTAATCAGTGTTTCATCTAGAAATGCATGTTTCATATTGCAATGCATGTTCATATAAAGTGATCACGTTTTACAATGCAATGCTCACATTACTTTTGATATGATTGTCTTCTCATTTGTTAAAATACATTTTACTATTATTTAATCAGACTGCTCTTAATTGATAATAACTTAACCGTTTAGTAAACCCATGTATTTTAAACTGGTTTATCTACTACAGATTTTGAGAAATACATAATGAAAATGTATGTTTGTAAAGTATAAACATATAAAGTATGATATACAGTGCTTTCAGAAACTATTCACACCCCTTTACTTTTTCCACATTTAGTTGTGTTACAAAGTGGAATTAAA